TACCTTTATTAGGTCTGACTGAAGCTCCACAGCAAGGTGGGGAAGAATTAACATTCATCAGGACTCTTCTTCCTCCCCTTTTTGTTATATTGACTACCATCAATACCAAAAACATTGCACCCCATAAAGCCTAGAAATGTTTCTAGGTTTTTCAAATGGGTGCCAAATTAACTACAGACACCCATGACGAAGGCTGCTTGGAGGCCTTTCCTGGGCTGTGGGAAGCGAAGTCCTCTTCTGCCCTCCCACAGTGGTCAAGCGGTTTGCCATTTGAAGCTGCTGCCCCTACCACCACCACCATAGGATGGTCTTACCACTCCGCCATCCCCCACCCCATTTGGGAACTATGAGACGGCTGAATTCCCTGACCCATGTCCACTTCAGAAGCCTCCTCCTGTATTATGGTGGCCATCCACTAAAGCAGGTAGTGAGACAGAGCTATGGCAGGGGTTAGAGGGGTTTCTTCTATTTTTGGACTATAGCTCCCAAAATACCTGGCCGTTATGACTGGGCAGATTGCAGGAATCTGCATATAACAAGTAATTTTTCCAAGTTCTCAGCTAATGGAGAGCGCCTGGTGAGAAGAGATAAGTTGCCTACGAAAAGAGCGAGAAAGTCAGTGGATAAGGAGGAGGAGAGGAGAGCCTCACAGGCAGTTATGGGGATTGCTGGAGCTTTGTATCAACAACTATTGGTCTAGCCTGAAAAAGAAGTAGAGCTCTTTGCCTTAAAGATGAACAGATTTATTTCAGTTTGAGTTTTCATGGATTGTAGTCTCCCTTCTTCCTGAGGAAAAAGGTCATAGCCATAAAAGCTCACAGCAGTAATGAGTAACGGGTCTTCTTTTAACATGTTGTTTCCAAGTTTTTGATGCAGCCCCTGTGTGGCTCCGGAAACCAGTGCTCTGCTGGCACCTTTGAGAAAGCGGGTGAAAGCAATCCTAAAAGAGTCAAAGCAAGTCAGTTAGAGACAATGTATACATGTCAACCACTAATGCTCTTCCACTTTTATTGTTCCAAACAGCCAGAAAAGGAAAGGGAAAGGACTAGAAGGATGGAGGAAGCCCCACCGTCTTCAGGGCATGGTGCCTGAACCCACTTGGACACACACCACTTGGAGCTGCAGCGTGGCCCCTCCCAGCTTGGCGATGCTTTGCCAAATCCTGCTATTCTTCCACCTCCATGACTTTGACCTTAACTGAAATGCCGTTTCTAATCAGTAGTTTTGCAGAGAGCAAGCCCTGTCCTGAAGAAGGTGCTGTTTGCCTTCTCCTTAACTTTTCCTACCTTTCCCTCCCCACCCCTGTTGTGCATATGCAATCTCTCCCTCCACCCCATTCTTTGCTCTGGCTCCTTTCCCAGAATTTGGTCTGATGTGCTTTGAGATGGGGTGAGACTAGGCTAAGCTGTGGCTAGAACTCTTCACCTTTGGGATCTGCTGTCAAGCTCAAATGGCCTTTCGGCACATCTCTTTGAACTTTAACAACGCCTCTGACTTCCCTGTTCAACTTTGCTTTCCTGTAGACAAAGAGCTAAACTAAGCTAGCCAAGGGCAACGTTTCAGGGAATAGAATAGGATGGGGAGGAGTTGCAATGGAAACATCGGGCGAAGAGCCCCTCTGTTGCAGAAACAGCAAGATGCTGACTCGCTTTGGTGTCTTTCTGCACCCTCCCCCCCGCCCCCTCTTTGTAGGGGACAAAAATCGGTGCCTATTTCCCATGGTGCTCTTTGTGTATGTGTGTGCGTGCATGTGTGCGTTCACTTTTTTTGCTCCCCATATCTCCGTTACCTACGTGTTTTTCAGCAGACTCTTCATCTGAGGAGGGGTGTGTCTGTCTGTCTGTCTGTTTAATCTGTATGACTTGTGTTTGTTTGGTATTTTGCTAACAAGCCATGCCTTGCATCCTCGTCAGTGCCCAGGAAAGAATTTCCCCAGAGCATTGTTTCTTTTTCAATAATTACATCTTCATTTCTCCTTATCTATATTCTTGCTGGGACGCTGTGGCCTTCCCTTTTCTGGTGCTGGGTAAGCCCTCTCCTGCTTTTTACAATCCCCCCTCCCTTTTTTCCAATAAAAGTCTTTTTACAAAAAAAACCACCACCCTCCTTCTTTGGGTCCTACTTCTGTGTCAGGAACTGTACATCCATGAGCTAGAGAAGTAAATGGCTGTGTCAGGGTCCTGTAGCTAGCAAAGACACATTAAATCCCGTTATTACTGTAGGGGAGCATTGGTGTCACCCTGAGATGTCACTGAAGGGATATCACCACTCCAGTCTTGGCAACATTCAGAACGCCCAGAACAAACTGACAGACATTGTCTGGAGGGTCACAGCAAGGAATGTGCTGTCCATTCAGATTTCCCTGTTGTATTTTCTAGGCTGAGAGAGTGAGATGCACTTACATGAGGATATTAAAAGCAACTGCTTCAGGCAAGGTGAGACTAAATACAGGGGTTGTTTGCCAGAAAGGAACTAGAATGAAATGGCATCAAGTTCCAGATACCTGTCAGCTTGCCAGACCCAAAAGAAGTGTCAAGGAAAGTGTGTCGCATAGCAGTTCTCTGAGGGCTTTGTATCTCAGGGGGTGCAGCACCTCACAGCAATTTGTGTCCCTCCACATTGTAGATCGTAAGTCCTGTTAGATCTGGCCAGGGTAGTGAGTGGTCATGGATGATGGAGGTTATCTTCAATACTATCGGGAGGTTCAAAAGTTGCCCATCTTTGAGATGTAGATGCTGATAGCCAGGCTAAAGGCGAATCTCACCAAAGAACCTACCTCTCTACTTTTTGAGAGCCAAATGCTAATAAATTGCTCTGCATATCAACTTCTCTCTGCCCTTGGAAAAGAAACTGAGAAAATTGTCTATTTGATGTTAAGTAAGAGGGACCCAAGCAAGTTGCTACTTTGCTGTCTCCCCCTTCCCTGCAAACATTTATATGTCAGAATTCTATAGGTTGTTTATGTCAGTTTAAGTGAAATGAGATAAACCGCAGGGGCAAATTGCTGCTGGTTAAGAAGTCACCAGTTGTATTTCTTGTAATCAACTGCAAGACGTGGCACACTACATGGAATACCATTAACTAGCTGCAATTTGTCTCTGCAATGTATGCTATCGCACTTGTAAATATGTAAATAACCAGTAAGATGTTGCCCATGGTGTCTTAAGTCCAACAGTGCAACACCCAACTTTAAATAATTTTGCAAATATTTAAGAAAGAGCATTTAAATTTTGTTTCAGAGGCTCTTGCTCAATTATAAACTCTTCAAGGGCAAAATACTGCTTGTAAAATAATAACCATCACAACAAATACTAGCTAGAATACTCTTCAGGCTACAGTACCCCTTTGCTATATGGTACTTGGTGGTGCTGCGGGCTAAACCGCAGAAGCCTGTGCTGCAGGGTCAGAAGACCAAGCAGTCGTAAGATCAAATCGACGCGATGGAGTGAGCTCCCGTCGCATGTCCCAGCTCCCGCCAACCTAGCGGTTCGAAAGCATGCAAATGCAAGTAGATAAATAGGGACCACCTCGGTGGGAAGGTAACAGCATTCCGTGTCTAAGTCGCGTTGGCCATGTGACCACAGAAGATTGTCTTCGGACAA